TTTCAGCAGCAGCTGACTTGGGGACGCCTGGGGTTCTTAAGTTGATTCTGTATGTAAGTCAGAACTGGCGGTCAGTTTCAGCAGCCGCTGAATCTGGACGCCAGTTCCGACTTACATACAGATTCAACTTAAGAACAAACCTACAGTCCCTATCTTGTACGTAACCCGGGGACTGCCTGTATAGTAGAGGAGAATGTTTTACCCCTTTGAGAAAGGAGAACATGGACAATATAAACATTCAGGGTAGATCTTCTGCTTTATTGAAACTCACCATGTAGGTTAACATTAACGTGTTATCTGATGTTACTGATACTGTGAAATTGTAACTTTCAGGTTGAATAATCTTGAAGATAACATTACCCTAGTCAAAGGAAGAATTGAAGAAGTTGATTTGCCACATGAGAAAGTGGATATTATTATATCTGAGTGGATGGTAAGATGAACAAATAACTAAATGTAACGTAAACTATTTTTTTAGCAAAAGCGTTATCAGAATACATTTTTACAAAAAAATCTCTTTGACCCTCCATATTGTAAATAGTTCAGAATTTAAAAAAATCAGTACAAATTTTAAAGTGTCATATATACTGTAGTGGCTTCCAAAGCCCTTGTTAGGATTATGACATTGCTCTATAATGCACTCTGCGGGCACAGGAATTAAGAAACCAGACTTTGCTGCACAAAGCTGACATTTGTAAAGTCAGCTACCTCAATCTGTCCAAATATCTAAGACATGAAATTGTAGCTAATAAAATGGGGAAATCTCTAAGAATGACTTGTCTTTCTATAAACAGTGTTAGATATTTTGGCATTGGGATAAGGTAGAGATAAAAATGTACTTCAACCTTCTAGAATTAGAAGCAAATGATGTACATCCTAAGGCAAAGCTGGGACTCTTGGCAAGGTAATCAGTCTAAAGTTACTGTTTCTAGCCCTTGTGGGTTACGAGGTATTGGATCATAGACTCCACTGATGCCAGCTCAAAGTATTGCCTGTCCTCAGATTAGTCTAACTTGTTTTTGCATGGGGCATGTGAATTGCATGGGTGAGGTGAGAAGATAATGGCCACCTCTAGAGGTTTTAAAATGTAAGTACTTGGAGATTTGGATATAGAAGTAGCACTGGCAGATTCATAAAGTCCAAGGCCAGAAGGGAATCCTTGTGGAGATGGATTTGTACCCAAAATTCTTACCATGAGGAAATAACTTTTCCATTGGAGGGCTAAATGCCTTGCCAGTTTGGGTGGGTAGGTGTAGTATCACTTGGATTGTCTTAAAATCATGAAAGATGGAAGAGCACTTTTTTTATTACTTGTACTAGTAATTATTTACACATCACTATTGGTGGATTCTGCGTAGTGACATAATGCACTCTAGAACATCGTTCATGTTTCACTGTGCCTTGGTAACATACACAATCTAGGGAGCATTGTCATTTTTGTTTAGAAACTGCAGTTCTTGCGTAGCATGTCACTGCTACATGGCTTCCAAGTTGACTGCCTCCTGCAACTTTTTTCTTGGCCATTCAAGTTTCTTTGGGTATGTCTACACTGCATTCCTCTTTCAAGAGAGGAATGCAAATGCAGCTGAGCGAAATCGCAAATGAAGTGCGGATTTGAATTAAGGGAATTACCCTTAAACCTCATTTTATAAGGAGTAAGGGTAATTTCGAAAGAAGGGTTTTCTTTCTAAATAACTGCGTCTAGAGAGTGTTTCTTTTTTCGAAATAGGGCATTTCGAAATAGTGGCTGGATGTGATTATGCAAATGAAGCACGGGAAATTCAAATCAGTGCTTCATTTGCATTCCTCTCTCGAAAGAGGAATGCAATGTAGACCTACCCTTACTTCAGTGGAGCTATTGGAACGGGATTGGAAATCATATGTCGATATAAACATGGAAAAATTGAGACTACCAAAGATAGGAGGGAAACAGATTGCTGGAGTTTAGACCATGTTCACTTTTAATGCCTCAGTGTTCCCTTTTCTTTTTTTGTGTGTGTGTATTCACTGGCAAAGATTTCCCTGCTCTCATTTAGCAGATATTTTAGCAGACTAGTTGGATTAAATTTTCCTTAACAAAACAATGGTGAAAGACAGAGCTGGTGGTACATTGCACAGAACATTTTTATGGGCTTTGAGTCTCTAAAACAAAGGTTTTGTGCTTTCTGCTCTGCTTACCCACATCAAGCTTAGAAGTAGGATGAATGAGCAATTTGTCTCTTGAATGAATTTTAGTTGTGTTTCTTGGCTGGCCAGCAGACAGGGGATGTTGATAAATAGTGAAGCCAATCCTCCTCTTTTCGAGAGGCTAAATGCACTAGTTGTGAAATTGCAGGACTAAAATGTGTATCTTACTACTAAAGTCCAAATGTAACTAAGATGTCAGTTTGTTTCTGTTCTCCAATAAAACTAGCTTATAAAATTACTTGGAAGATATGAAAAAGTGTGGTCAGCTGAGAGCTACCACTTCATGTAGTGTATATTGAACAGCAGAATGCCAAAGACTGGAGTTAACCGAAGAGGTGGCTCCCTGCCAAGATCCCTCCCCAGCTGTGCATTCATTGAAGAGATGGATGGACGTTTGCAGCCCAAATCAGCTATTTCTTGTCTGAACATTTGGACCAGAGAATACTTCACCGCAATGATCAATGTGCTTTGGAGGAGGAAAATAGTGACCCAGTAATGACCTGTCCTCTTTCTTCTATACATGTTTGCAAAGTATTGGAGGAAATAGTTCTTGTTGTCATTTCTTCTGTATTAGTCCTTTTAGCCCTGTTTGCAAGTGGAGTCCTAAGGAAGAAACTGCAGGAAGAGCAAAAATAACATCTCCCCTTGATGGATTGCAGAGCCTTCAAATAGATGAGTGCATAGCTGACGTATGAGGAATTAAAGGGTTTATTTACCTTTCTGCATAAAGTAGGGCCATGATTTAAAGTTGTGCCTTCAATGAACAAAGAGTTTGCAATGTTAAGTGCTTTGAAGTACTGTTGCCAGACTTCCAGGTTTTGAGTGAATAAAGGAACATAAGAATTTCTGTACCAGCTCAGACCATATGCAGAGGGCAAAGGTGCCTTACCTCTAGTATTGTACAGGATTTTCTTTGTGCATCTGTGTGTAACATTACTATTTGTACAGTGCTGCTAAAATAGAAATCACTGTGTCAAGTTTTGTTATAATACCAAGTTTGTTTAGAAATTCAGAGTTTTGCTCAGAACAGTGTTATTTGCAGATATTATGTGCCCAAAAGCTTGTTTGCAGGCAGCATCAAGTTTATGTCCTTTTCCTGAAGATACAGATTTTTAAGAAGCAATAATGTTTTATAGCAGTTACAGTAATTCTGCATACAGTACTTGACTGAAACATGATTGTCCTATTTGTGTAACCACTGATGTAGTATTGCTCTGTAGATTATCAGGTTCAACCTTCTGTCATTTATATTTATAGATCTTCCACCTAGTTACCTTACTCTACAGACTAAGGCTACATCTAGACTGCAGTGCTATTTTGGGATACTGGTATTCCGAAATAGCAATTCCATGTCTTTAAACATGCCTGTTATTTCAAAATATATTTCAAAATAGTGGGCGTGCTATTCCAGCATCCCTGTAACCCTCGTTCCACCAGGGGTTAAAGGACTTGTTGGAATACATTTGATAATAAGCTGTTTTGAAATTACCTCGAAATAAACTATGCAATAAGATGCTTGCCTTTCTTCTCAGAGGTGGTATGCACTGTATAAGGTACCTCACAACACTTTCTAAGCAAGTATAGTTTATTCTTAAGGAAAAAACATTACAGAGAAAATATTAAAAACAAAAGAACCTACGTACATGCTAATAAGCTTATAAGAGTTCCCCAATTGTCTCCAGTGTGGGCCTCTGGCAGGTGAGTCCTCCAAAGGGGTATCTTTTTTGATCAGGTTCAAATCTACCTCAACTCAGAATTAGCATACAGTATTATGGATTTATGGGGATTTAACTCTTAAAAACAGGGGCTTTCCATTTTTGCTGGATCTGGAAGAAGGCTCTGAGTTGCCTTACACTCAGGCTATTTATTCAAAAGCCCTTTGTGATTACTAGAGAATCCAGACTGCATCTTTACACTTTTCTCATGTACCAGATGATCAGCAGACAAAAGGCTGTTGGCTGCCTACTCTCATCCTCCCTTCTTCCAAAGCAAAGCTTTAAAGTCTGAATTTGTAAGTGCAGGTTTCCAAGTATTTCCTAGGAATTCTACTTCACTTGTATTGTCTCAAATACTAATACGCCCTGAAATTATATTAGACAGTTGCCTAGAAGAGTTGCATACAATTCTGAAATAACAATTCACAATTGCATTTTTAATCCAGTAGATCCCAAAAATATTAACATCACTCAATTAATGCTTATCTTAATTCCTTAAGGCTTCTCTGTGTTTGTTGAAGGATATTGTCATGTGTCACGGTTGTGGCCTTCCATGTTTTGAAAATGGGCCTATCATTATGCATAACTAATGAGGTTTTAAAGCGAATACCTCACGTAACATGTCACTTTTAAAGTTACAATTTGCTGAATGCGTATATCCTCTTGTGCGGGTGTCTTTCTTTGTGACATTAGAAATATGAAGTGTGGATCTATCTATAATTCTCCATGTGCTAATGAGGGCCATTACCAGTGCTAGAGCAACTTAATGGCTAGGTGATCAAGTCTCAAGGATCTGTGAATAGTTGAGCCCTCCCAGAGCTGAAGTGATTCAGTGCCTGCGTTGCTCTGTAGGGGGGCAGTAACCTGTACCTTGTCTGAGAGAGACCAGAGCTTCTGGACAAGCAGCAGTTTAGTAAAGAGCCCCCCGAGAGCAGGAATTCGAGCAACAATGGCGTAATCAGCACACCGGGGGACAACCCCAAAGGGATTTCTGTGGTCTACCCAGTCACATTATAGAAATATATAGAGGTGAAACTAAAATATTTTGTCAAATGTAACTAAACAGATGCACTGGTACTTTTTTTTTTTTTTTTTTTTTTTTTATTGCCAGGGCTATGTTTCCTATTGCATCTAAAGAAATAAAGCCATTTACAGTACTTCTGTTTACGGGTGAGAACCTGCCTACATTGCTAAGTGTTGCTCTGAAACTCTATGCGTGGTATTTTCTATACTTTTGACTTTAGTCCAAGTCCTCAGAATTGAACAATTTAAGGAAAATTGCCTTTATTTTTCTGTGACTATAACAGAGTACAGGGCTTTGCATATTATAGGCTAATAGAGAAGGAAATAAATATGTAATGGTATGCTATTCAATTGACAAGAGTTTTGAGACCACTGAAGTAAATCTGGCCTCTTGTTCTGTATTGAGAATTTTAACAATCAAGTTTTTTGGTTTTTTTTAAGTGTCAGCAACAAATGGTTTGAATTAATATCTATGGACAATTTCTGTAGCATGAGCTCTTTGCATAGAAAGGACCTTTGTTACTTTGCTTTAAAGGAATGTGCCCATTTTTCTAGCAACGTTTTTGTTCACTCAGGACAGTTTGCTGATTTAACCTTCCTTGAATTTAATGTTGATTTTTATTGCCTTTTGGCAGCTGGAGACCTGTCTCATCATTTATAATTGTAAAGCATAAAAGGAGAAAAAAACCTTGATATTTTGTTTTAAATATTGATTGTTAGTGGAAGAACGGTAAGCTTTGTAAGAGAGAAGCGCTTCATTCCATAGCACAGGAATTGAGTTGTTCAGTGTTTGGTCTTCTACAGAGAACATGACATCTTTTATGTCTCTGAGTTCAACCAGTAGCAAGACTGACTCATTAATATTCTACTCACAGATTTGTGCAGTACAGATCCCTTTGCAGTAATTATATTTGAAGGTGCTAATGCAGGTTTGTTTGGTGGTGGGTTTTTTTAAATAAATAAAAATCAAATTTGAACATTGTGAAAGTGGAGGCAGGGAATGCCCCAGAGCATCATGGGAGAAAATGTCAGGTATAATTCTCTTTCCAGATGGCACCCCTACAGGTGAGGCAGTAGCCTGTGAAATTACATTCTAAATTACACTGCAGATGAGCACAGCACACAGAGCAAAGAGTTCTGATATTGGTAATAAATGACTTGATTCAGTACCAAGGACATTTCCCAGTAACTTACCAGGTTGTTATATTGCATCGGGGAGTACATAGGACTGAGATGAAAGCCAACAGATCCACAATGGAAAGGTCAGAGAAAGGACAATGGTGTTTACTAAGGTGTAACTGGGTCAGTCGTTCAGGGGTCCTGGGGCACCCCCAGTTCGCGAGCCCAGGCCGCAATAGGTCCTGAGCTGCCCCTGTTCCCGGCCTCTATCTCGCCGCTCCCACGGTCCTCTCTCTGCAGTCGGCTCCCACCGAGCTCGCTACTCCGCCGTCCACTCCAGTCGTCCCCAAGATCGCTGGGCCCCCGGCCCCCAACTGTCCGCCCGGCGACCGCTGCCGTCCCGGGACCGCGCCGTCCCGCTCCTCCCTGGTCCGGCCATCCGCCTTGGGTGCTGGGATTTGGGCTCTGGGCGCTGCACTGCCTTCTGCGGAGTCTCTGGCGTGCCCTGCGGAGGAGGCTGAGAGCAGAAACTCCCCTGCTCTCCCCAGTCCTCCCCCCTTGCCTGTTCCTCCCGCCGCCCTTTTGAATTCCCCGCTCGGCGTCCAGCCCCCGGCCCACCCCTCCGTTGGCCGCCCTGCCGCCCCGGGTCCTAGTGCCCGCCGGCTATCACCTGGGCCGCCCTGTGCATGCGCGCCGGCTGTGCCGGTTTCCCCCGGCTCCTCCGCCTGTGCTGCCGCGCCGCGCCGGACTCCCGGCGCAAGCTGATCGGCCGCACGGGGTGCGGGGCCTTGGCTCCAGGGGCCGAGAGTGCGGGGGTGAGTCCCCCCATCACATAAGGTTTGGTTGTATTTCTGGGAAGGGATATTTATTGCCCAGTCTTATCATTTAGACTTCATTGGTAAACATTGAAGATGACATGTTGTAGCTCTCAGTGCCAGGATATTAGAGACCTAAAGTAGGTGAGGTAGTATCTCTTTCTTGGACCAACTTCTATTGGTCTTGGTCTCCAACGGTACTTGGTCCAATAAAAATCTATTGCCGCCACCTCCTCTTCCTCTCCCCCATCTCTCACTGCCTTTGGCAGGCATTTTAGAAGAAATTTCATAAAGAATTACTCCATGCCATTGAAACGTAAAGCCAGCTGCTAACCTGTATTTTAGAACTTCTTTTTTTTTTTTAAATTGAGTAGTTTTTATGAGGGAATGCACAGGACCTCACTCGCTCTAGTTTCTATAGTAAATGTTGGGGCATTAGTATTCATTATTCCGAACGAAGAACAAGTGAACTATTCCTAAAGTATATGCAAGTAATTAGATTTACAAATCTATTGCTAGAATCAGGGCTTGTTCTTTTTGCCAAAAACTGGAAATCTGTTGCTAAATTTACTGTATTTTATTTTTTGTAACTGCAAAGATGAGGGTAAAGTAATGAGGGCACAGCTGCTTCTCCAGAGAAGGTGAAGAACATTTGTACCCTTCCCTGGTTGGTTGTAAACATAGGAACACCTCTGTGGCTGGTGAAACCTTTAACCACTGTGCAAAGATTAACAAAATGTTGGGTTTTTTTGTATTGGCCTTGCACAAGGGTGAATGTATAGAATGATACTTGACATACCACTGTATATTGAATCCCTTAGTGTTAAAGAGTGATGCTGACTTTTGGCTGGCTGCAAGGACAGTTTCCAGTAACTTACTGGATTGTTATATTGCATTGGGGAGTACATTGGGCTGAGAGAAAGCCAAAAGATCCATAGTGGAAAGGTCAAAGAATTCATCTTGGGACATGTAGGGAGGGATTTTTATACCCTACTGCTGGTTTAATGACTTATAAAAGCAACCGTTTCCTATGGCACACAACAAATTAAGGAAAGAAAAGCTCAGATTTGTGTACAAAAATTAACCGTATCTGTATCATTGAATGTCTTTAACATTTAGACTGTCATGAGGATCAGTAACACCTCTTTTTTGTTAGTCGTTGATTGGAAACTCTGCATTCTTTTCAGAGCTTTAAAAAACTCCTCTACTTTGCATTTATACACAAAAAACACATATTAGCCTTGCATCAGTATCTTTGTATAGCCTGGAAAATGCTAATTTTGTTATGGTTGAACACCAGTTAATGGCTAGAAGTAAAGGAGTATTATCAGCTCAGTTATTGGATAATAATAGGAAGTTAATAAGTTACTGTCTCTGGATCTCTCAGTCCATCTCGCTCTGGCTATGGGTAAATATTCCACTACCGTTCTGCAATAACTAATAACCAATTCAGTCATTGTGCCTTAATTTCTAGGTTGCAGTGTATTGATAACCCATTGTCATAGGAATGATGAGAGTGATCCAACCTTCTCTGCTAAGGTCCTTACGACAGTTCCTTCCCTTTTGGTGATCTCTAGTGTGTGTTACTTATGGTGACTTCTGGACCCCCAGCTAATGCAAAATGAAGCTGTCTAACTCCTGTTACTCCTAGTAGTATCTGTATGGGCTTTGTGTGTGTATTGTTTATTATGTTTGTCCTTTTTAAAGTCATGGAAGGTCTGAGACCTGGTTCCTTGATGGTATGCCCACCTGGGGATAAAAGACCCACAGCATGACCATGGCTAGCCTAGCTCAGCTGACGCTGGCTTGTCTTACTGGGCAGAAAAAAGTTGCTGTGTAAACCTTTGGCCTTGGGCTGGAGCCTGAGCTCTGGGATGCACCATCCACATAGGGTCTCGGAGCCTAAATGTCTACACCAGTGATCCCCAACCTTTAGAGGCTTCCGGGCGCCGGAGGGCGGGGCCACTCACGCACTGGGGGCGTGGGGTCACTCATGCGCCGGGCGCCCAGGGGCGGGGCCGCGCGTCCTGGGGCATGCCAGGGGCGGGGATGCCCTTGCACCCGGCGCCGGCATGTGCCCCAGGGCCGGGGCCGCCTGAGCGCCTTGTGCCGTGAGCCCGGGGCCGGCGCCGCCGCCTGAGCCATCATTGGGTGGGTGCACATAAATAGCCCAGCAGGCGCCATGGCGCCTGCGGGCACCACATTGGGGAGCACTGGTCTACACAGCCATTTTTCAGCCAAGACTCAAACCATACTCTACTGGAGTCAGCCCTGGGTGTTTTTTCTCACCTGTGTAGATGTAGCCTGAGTGACCTGTCACATCAGGTAAGATGGATTGCTTAGCATGTAGTAAGGGAATCTGGTTTTGAGTAGTCAGGCGCCATGGCGCCTGCGGGCACCACATTGGGGAGCACTGGTCTACACAGCCATTTTTCAGCCAAGACTCAAACCATACTCTACTGGAGTCAGCCCTGGGTGTTTTTTCTCACCTGTGTAGATGTAGCCTGAGTGACCTGTCACATCAGGTAAGATGGATTGCTTAGCATGTAGTAAGGGAATCTGGTTTTGAGTAGTCAGGTGGTCTTAGTCTTTTTTTTTATTATTATTATTATTTATTATTAACTTCAGGATGCTTTGTAACATGAGCCCATCAGAATCAAAGGTGGTTAGTATTTGATAAACTTATTTTGTGTAATTTTCTGTAAAACTTTCAACTGCCACAATACATGCTACAGCAGCACTTCAACATTGGCAGTGTATGGGCTGGCACGGGTGGCCGCTTCTTGAAGGTATCCTATTCCTGGCCCACTTTCATCTCTGGATTGTCCTGTCTTATATTAACTTTGAACTACTGAACAATCACATCAAAATATACATTTCATCACTGTTGAAGTTCTACAGTTCTGATTTCTAATCCGTAGCTAGTTCCATTGGCTGTGTTGTGTGTGTTACTCAAGATTTCTTTTGGAATCCTATTTAGAAAGTATTGTAAATATACAAGTATACCTGTGGTACCTGAAACTTAGTAAAAATGCATTAATTTTGAAACACTTTTATGATTAGTGTTCTGTGAATAATTAATGTATACAACTTCTAATTTAGCAGGTGCTTTAGCCATCCGAGAAACATATGATACTCCTGTATATAACTAGAACACTGCAGTAGAAATATTATACCAAAATCAATATTGAGGGAAAACATTAATTCTTATATATACGTCACATACTATGGTCATGAGGGTCCATATAAGAACTTCTATCTTCAGTTTGATAGGTGATCTATCATATCACCTTTTAAGGCTTGAAAATTCTCTAGTGATTCAATAGGATGAGATGATGTACTGGTATAATAACAAATATTTGATTTGTTTTGTAGATATAGAAAATAATTATTTCTAAACTATCTCTTTTTTCCCTCCTTTCCACATTCAGGGTTATTTCCTTCTTTTTGAATCTATGCTGGATTCTATCATTTATGCAAAGGAGAAGTACCTGACAGAGGGAGGCTCAGGTTGGTTCAGAATTTTTTTAATAATCCAGCTCTGGGGGAGGAAGCTAAAGGAAACCAAAGACTTACAATACGCTATATGTAGCTGAGAGAGTTCTCTGTCAAAGAGAAAAATATTTCCATTAGAGGAAGCTTCAAGGCATTCACTTACCATAGAGGTAATAGAGTATTAGATGAGATTACTCAGGCCTTAAAGTTAATGGTGTTCTCAAGAACAATTTGTATTGAAAGAAAGCAATGGAAGTTAGTAAATAACAGGATATGCTTGCAACCAGATACAGCATACTGCTTCATTTTCACCTGTGTAAATCCTTCAGTGTTTTATGTAGTCTTTCCCATCACCTGTTTTAAGGTTGAAAAGTATATTAACTTTGCTTAGACTATGTGCCCTATGTACACAGAGAACAAAGCTGTCTATTTCTGGGAGAATTTAATCATTTGGGGGTGTAGTCATTACAAATCTACCCAACTCCATGTTTCAAAGTAACATATTTGAGGAAAAAAATACACTTTTCCCTCTCAGATCTTATTTTTGCATCTATTCTATTTGGATGCACTCACTGGGCTATTCTGAATTAGCCTCCAGCTGTAAGAAACCGAAATCGGAACTACATGATTTCTAAGATGCCACAGGACAACTCATTGTTTTTAAAGTTAGACTAACATGGCTCCCCTCTGAAACCCTTTTTGACATGTAAAGCTTTCTAGTTAAGGTCCTTACTGGAAGACATTTTTGTAAAACTGCTTTGTTACTTGCTTTCACACCCAACATCCCCCTGCAATTTATGCATATAATATATTCATTCCCAGGATGCCAGCTGATTTTTTGCTATTTTCAATCTACATTTCTATGCCCAACATTAATTTTGGGAATTTTTAATGTTCCCAATTTTGCTTTTCTGTTACAAAACAGGACAAGATAATTGGCTTAATTAAAAATCTTGTGTAGCTAAGGAAAAGTACAGGTCAGTTACCAGAATGGCTTTCAGTATTTCAAGAATCTTGGGTCTGTCTTTGAGTGATATATTATCTTAGATTAAATAAATTATGAATTTATTACTCTTAGTACTGCAGCTGTAGATTGGTAGTTGTGGTCTATACTAGTCTTGATTAGGGATGTGAAAGTGTAACTGGGCTCATCAATTAACTTTCATGGTTACACACAGGCTACTGGCTCCTGTGTTACCCACTTCTGCCAGCGCTGCTGCCTTTGATATAGAGGCAGCAGCGCAGGGGGTGACGGGAGCTGACTGCAGCCCCTCCCCTCCCCACGTGAAATTTTCATGGGTTACACAGTTAATTACATGAATTTTAACATTCCTAGTCTTGATCCATTACCAGTTTGGCAACACAGTTGTCATTGGTTCTTGCCTCTCAAAATTTCTTATTATCAGAAAGGACTTTAATGTTAGTGATCTCGGACAGCTGGTTAATATAAAACTGAGCTGCCTGTAATGATAGTAATTGGCCCATTGACTCTTCAGTACAGGTTCAACAGAATAGAAGCAGTGATGATGCTGTTCTTGTGGATAATGCAGAATATGAGTATTTAGGGAGGTGTATTGAAAGAAGGGATGCCTTGACAAGCTGGTATTCAGATGGAATGGCATGGAAAGGGGTGTTAAAGAGAAATTGTATATCAAGACTGGTATAGTTGGTGGAGCAAAAGTATAGAGCTGTGATAAGACACTTGATCTCAGATGCAGTCCAGGTCATTGTATTGAGTGGGTCTTGTAGAAGAGAACCCTAAATCTTTTATGTGGAAGGCCAGGGGAAATCAAAGGGCAGATTTAAGTAAAGGATAAATTACATGGTTGGAGTAGGCAAAATATAGAGGGCTGTTTTTTAAATGAAATGGAGATGGGTAATGTTAGTTGACGGGAAGTTGGAAGTACACTAAGGTGTAGTAAGGACATAGGAATTGTCGTGGATCAGGCTTGTGGTTAGTCTGTCAGGATCAGGTGTTTAAGAGGATAGTGTAAGAAAGTACTTTAAAGAGATGTGGAGTAATCTACATTGCATGTTAGGTTTCCTCCTACTCCCTTGTAGTTAAACATTGGATTAAACCCTGAAGTATGAGGCTTTGTCTTCCAAATTTGTTAGTCTTATATATAATAACTCTGGATATTCTTTTTCTTCATATAAATGTACAGGCAGTCCCCGGGTTACGTACAAGATAGGGACTGTAGGTTTGTTCTTAAGTTGAATCTGTATGTAAGTCGGAACTGGCGTCCAGATTCAGCGGCTGCTGAAACTGACCGCCAGTTCTGACTTACATACAGAATCAACTTAAGAACCCCAGGCGTCCCCAAGTCCGCTTCTGCCGAAACTGACCAGCGCTGACTACAGGAAGCCCGAGGCAGAGGTGCTCTGCCCCCGGCTTCCTGAAATCAGCTGCTGATCAGTTTCAGTAGCAGCTGACTTGGGGACGCCTGGGGCAGAGCAGCTGGGGTGCTGCTGGGTTGCTCCAGTAGCGCCGCTCCTCGGTGCTACTGGACCAACCCGGCAGCACCCCAGCTGCTCTGCCCCAGGCGTCCTGATTCAGCCGCTGCTGGTCAGTTTCGGCAGAAGCGGACTTGGGGACGCCTGGGGCAGAGCAGCTGGGGTGCTGCTGGGTTGCTCCAGTAGCGCCGCTCCTCGGTGCTACTGGACCAACCCGGCAGCACCCCAGCTGCTCTGCCCCAGGCGTCCTGATTCAGCCGCTGCTGGTCAGTTTCGGCAGAAGCGGACTTGGGGACGCCTGGGGCAGAGCAGCTGGGGTGCTGCTGGGTTGCTCCAGTAGCGCCGCTCCTCGGTGCTACTGGACCAACCCGGCAGCACCCCAGCTGCTCTGCCCCAGGCGTCCTGATTCAGCCGCTGCTGGTCAGTTTCGGCAGAAGCGGACTTGGGGACGCCTGGGGCAGAGCAGCTGGGGTGCTGCTGGGTTGCTCCAGTAGCGCCGCTCCTCGGTGCTACTGGACCAACCCGGCAGCACCCCAGCTGCTCTGCCCCAGGCGTCCTGATTCAGCCGCTGCTGGTCAGTTTCAGCAGCCGCTGAATCTGGACGCCAGTTCCGACTTACATACAGATTCAACTTAAGAACAAACCTACAGTCCCTATCTTGTACGTAACCCGGGGACTGCCTGTATAATCTTTTGTTTTCAGTTTTGCTGTTTTTTGGCCTTAGTGACCCATTAATGAATATGGTTAATACTCAGGCATGGGCAAAGGTCTTTTGCCAGGACAGAGGAAGATTTGGATTTTTTTGGATAAGGGGCAGAAGAAGAAATTACTATTTTTGGATCTAGTATGGATGGTGTAGAAAAATGATTTTGGTGTCCTCAGCCCTTCTTGGTTGGTTGTTAAAACTAAATTTTCCCAGAAAGAGAACTTCATGTGTTGGCTCCTATTAGACAAGGCTGTCTTTAAGAATTATGGGGCCCAACATAGGATTATAAAATGGTGGTGTGTGTGGGGGGGAGGCTTTTTTAAATAAGAGATGCAAACCAAATTCTGTGCCTTAATTTTGAAAGTGTTGGCACTGAGGCTTGGTGGGTTTTGTTTTGTGTTTTTTGAGCATAAGCCAAAATAAAACCAATATGGCACTAAATTAGGGATTTGGGGGGAGGAATGGAAATTAAGGTCAACAATTAATATTCTTAGCGCACATAAACAATCCTAGACACTGGAAATGTTATGAAAAAGGCAGTGATTATAAATAGTGTCAGAAGTTTTTTACATCTCCATGTTTATCCCAGGAAAGGTGTGCTTTTCCTTTCCTAGGAAAAAAGCCAGAGGTGGGTTGGATAGACTAATTTATCCAATATAATTGGTTTTGATAATAATATAATGGGTGTTATGAATATGCCTTTAAATATTGCATGCTTTTCCTGTAATACTGATGTGTAGACTATACATTTGTATACATTTTAATGTAAGATTTCTCTTATATTTCATGTTGACCTTTTTCTATTGCAGATGTTCACACTCAATGTTTCCATGTTGTACTAACCATGCCTATATTCAGTTTCACCACACTGACCTAATGATTGGATTAATGACTTTGTAACAGCACTCGCTGCAGTGCACTGTTCTGATTGCAATGTGCTTTCATGCGAGTAGAGGAGTGCCAGCAAAAAAAAAAAAAAGCACTATTTTGGAATTCTGTGGCATTCAGTTATAAAGCTGAAGATTACACATTTGAACAAGAAATAAGTATTCTTATGTTAGAGGAAAAAAGAAACATATGTAGTGTTGCTCCAGGTTAATGCTTTTTTGATTTACAATAGTGAACAGAAGCTCTAGTCAGAATTGCGGTCCAATTGTGTTGGGCTTCCTATAGATACCTTGTCCTGAATTGCTTACTGTCTAGTACAGCTATATTAAAGATTTTTGGCATTCTGTAATGTAACAGTGACATTTAGCAATGTGGTTTTTTTAACCTCTGCTCTGAGCACATCTTAGAACACTGTGGGGTGCATCTACACAGCAGGGCCAGGCCCAGCCAAACAATTTGCGGGGACTAAGGCAGGATGTTGGGAGTGGGGCCCCGGGTCCAGCTGGTAGATGGTGAATACTCAGCAGTGTGTGGCACAAATGTTTGGAACCCAAGGCTTTTTCCTTGCTTGCCTTGCCCTAGGACCAGGTCTGAGCAGGGCTTAACTTGAAAAAAACTACACAAATTGAGCTACGTCAATTGTGTAGCTTATTTTGAAATAACTTATTTCGAAATTGGGAGTGTCTACACAGTGCTTATTTCGAAATTGAGGACTCTTCCTCCGACTACCCTTACTCCTCGTACAGTGAGGGTTACAGGAGTCGGAGTAAGAAGTCCTCCAGCTTCACAGTATTTTGACATTTTTTCAAAATTAACTGCCGGCTGTGTAGATGCTAACATACCCCAAGAAGCATTTTACCTCCCATTTAGCTTAGCATACTATTCATGTTGTTGAAAATGGGGGGTGGTATGTTGTTCTCCATGAGCACTACTTGAAGGATTGAGAGAAATCTGAGCTTTCTTCCTTTTCCTCGAGGGACACAATGCGCTGGTTCAGGATCAGTCCTAGGAATTCTCTCATCCCTTTTCTCTCTGCAATTCCATGTTGTTAACCTGCTGTCTGCTCAGCTCATTTAGCTAGATTTTAAATAGAATAATTTTTGCTTTAGGCACTGATTAATCCTTGTTCTTCTGCCAACTGGTATGGAAGGTGAATCTTTGCCTCTGAGACAGACCAATGTCACCCCATAAATCAGCCAGCAGGTGGGGTCCTGGCAGCAAAAGATCCCTAGTCTCTGTAACACAAAAAAGGTCAGCTCTGTAAGTATGAGTAGCAGTAGAATTTAAGACACTTCCAAACCTAGACAACTAAAAGTATAAATCTGTTACTGAATAAAACTTTCTGGCCAGCCTTCAGCTAGCGGTACAATATTAAGGTCCTGAAAGTTTGGAACAAATCTTATTTCTGGATCTCTAACCACTTCATGAGGTGAATAAGTATTAGGGTCTCTCTTGTGTCAAATTTCCTCATTTCAGAAGAGGTTGTGACTGGGCCATAATTTTTGCAGTAAGTCAGGCTGAGCCAGGAATGAATTCTAGATCTCCAGTTTTATGCTTGATTAAATACTAGCTGCCCCAACTTACTTTATCAGCTCCCCATAGTAACGGGTGCCAAAATATGTGGGATGATGTGGGTACAGTACATAATACCTTTGTTTGTGAATGTAACGTTCTTGGTACACAGTTCTTATCTGTTTGTTATACATAGCTATTTTTCTTGATCGGGCATGTGTTTTCTCATATATTTGGCTGAAATACACAATGATTTGAGTAAGCTTGATGCACAAGGTTTTATTTTTGTATGTAGAAAATGGTCATGTTTGCTTGTTCATGACCAAATAACTTTATTGTTTACTTGGAATCATTTCTGTGTACCCTGAGGTTTATAGATTAGCCTTTAATGTCCTGAAATTTGTGAGGCATTACTAAGGGATAAAGGATTTCCCATCTTACTCTGCTCACCACGTGATCTGTTACCAGTGACAAATGATTTCTGGGCAGTGAGTCGAGAAGGACACAGATGTCAAAGCTATGAATTTGTGAGCTGATGCTGAGTGCTTCTGTCCAATCAGCATTTTGCTAATTTCACCTGTGAGAAGGAATAAGTATTCAATTATAGCTTCAGTCAAAGAAAACTAAATGGCAGGCGTGTCAGGATTGGATGGGAAAAGGTTAGGAATGAGTCAGACCAGAGTGAAGTAGGGAGGGTTTACTTTTTAGAAACAACTAGAAAGATGGTGAGTGAAACTGACCAATACGCTGTAGCATGCTATTGCTAAGAGCTGCAGACACAGTTCACAACACAGATGCAATTTTGAGGACACCATCACAATATTGTTGGCCCTGGAAGCAAAATTCCTAATTGCTTTGGAACCCTTCCTGCAAACCTTATTAACCAATTTACAGCGCAGCAGTGACATTCAGGAAATTTCCCTTGCCTTCTGAGTCAGTTTATTTCATAATCTGAATTCTCATTGGAGTATCCCTTGTGACCCAGGATGAAGCTTGAAATGCAGGGAGGCAAAAATTAACAAACTGCAGTTAGTAAGTCTGTGTGGCACTGAGCAGCAATAGGGGAGCTTTGAAAAACTGCAGCCCCTTGTCACTTGCTCCAGGAAACTGCTTACAAACCAGATGCTGGTTTTGTGTGACAGCTGTCAGGTGTGTGAAAAGCAACTGATTGGTTGCAAACAGTACATGTTGGGCTGCTGCCCTTTCAGCTGTCATTATATTACATTTTTCCTGTTGAGTTAATCAGAGCCTTCTCTTGGAAAAAGTCAATAATTTTGCTTTAGTTTCCTCTTCTGTAGAGTGGGGATGGTATTCTCCAACTTGTTGGGATATGAGAGTAGTTAATACTTAGATTTTACAAATATTCTTAACGAAGACTATTTAAAAGAGCAAGCCAGAAAGCTGCAGTTTCTGTTCAGAATATCACAACATCCCTAATTATTTCTGTATGTTTTTTCCAGCTGTCAAGCTGTTGCTTTCTTACTGAATATTTTATGGTAGCTTCTTTAGCAAAGATGCCTTTTTTTTAATTAACAAGAACTTCCTTTAGAATAAACCTGCTTTGGCTACATAAAGAAAAAATACATAATTGGTTTGTATATTTGTCTACCTAACATCCCCAGCATCTTACTGATTCCATCATGCTCACTCTCATAAAGCTAAAATTTCAAGTAAAATTGAAGATGAAATCAATTTTGCAATTCACCAGATGCTGGAAAAGAAAAGAAACCTAGCTTATCTATTACTATCATTTTGCCTCACTTCTCAGTAAAAACATTGTTAATGGTAAAGTGCCTTGCAATGTACTACTTATATTTAGCCCCCCAAAAAATTCCATTTGTATACATTTGTGTGTTTATTGATGTTAAACCTTTATTAAAGAATTGATCATTTTCCAATGGTCAGGAAAGTTTGAGAGTCTAGTGTATCCATATCCTGTGGCTAAAAGAACTTCAGCCTATGAAATGGTTGTCTCTGTGCAAGCATTAAAATCTAAGGATGATAGAGACTAATTGAAATAATCATGTAACCACATCAAAACTCTGCAGTTACAAATTATTCAATAGTCCCCAGGGTCGGGGCCAGCATCCATTGCGCTCCTGGCCCCATACCTGGAGAGATCCCTGTCACCCTGCGCTACTGCCTCTGTATCAGAGGCAGCAGTGCGAGGTTTGCAGCAGCCTCTGTGAGGGTCCGAGCTCCCCGCATACAGAGGCTATGCTGGTATCCTATGGAGCAGCCTCCCCTCTCTCCCATGTGCTGTTGCTCTAATAGAGGCAGCAGCATGTGGGATCTGGTGCTCATGGGGAGCCAGTTTTCTAAGCTGTCTCCCCCTGAGCACTGGCTCCTTCCCCACCCCCACCTCTGTGGGAGGCAGCAAGGTGGGGGCAGGCAGCACCATAGAGCAGGCACACACAAGAGAGTTGGGTTAAAAACATAGAGCTGTCTTAAAAACAGAGAGCCAACTTAAAAGCTGGCTCCCCACGTGTATCAGCCCTCACCTGCCCACCCCCCCCCATCTTCTGCACCTCTAGTTGGGGGGTGGGGTAGATGGTTCCACAGGATCTGGTGTTTGTGGGGAGCTGGCTAAAAAGCTAGCTCCTACCTCTTCTTCTCTTCTCCCCCTTCTGCGCTGCGGCCTCTCTATAGAGGCAGCAAGGGGATTGGGAATGCATGTAGTCAACAGGATTAACTAGATTTATTGGTTAATCGTGTTTTTTTTGTCTACACATTGCCATCCCTATCAAAATCTGTTCTTTTTTTCATTAGTTACTCATCTTAAAAATTTAAGAGAATCTTAATTTTCATTTTTTCACTTCTAGTCCTTTCTGTTTGTTGCAGTCTACCCGGATATCTGCACCATTAGCTTGGTGGCTATAGGTGATCGGAATAAACATGCGGATAGACTGGCTTTTTGGGATGATGTGTATGGCTTCAACATGTCCTGTATGAAGAAGGCTGTAATTCCAGAAGCTGTTGTGGAGGTAGTGGATCCAAGCACGCTTATATCTGAGACCAGTGTCATTAAGGTACTGTACCAAATACTTACATACATTATAAACAAACTAAAAGTGCATCCTTCAGTTTATTTCTGTTCATAAATTCTTTTAATGTGATTGAGTTCCATATGGAAAAGATTAGTAAAACATATTTAATCTAGAGGAGCCTGATAACTGAAACAAATGCTAAGGTTTCACACAATAAAATACATGCACCTAGTGTTTGGTATTTAAAGTTCTGTTTAGAAACTTAGGGCTCCTGATATGTAAAAGTAATAATCTTCAACTTTTTTCCTCTAAATCACTTTCCCTATTCCAGGTGTTTCTTCTTCCCTTCCCAAACATAGGAAATAAATCAATTACATAATTTTGCCCCCGTATCTTGCTACAAATTTCTGACTTTCATGTCCGCTTATATCAGCAGGTTCCCCTATGAAATGAGTCCATGCTTTTTGTAATGACCATGCAAAGGAGATGAATGATTACAAAGCAAATACCATTCTGTGTAAAGAGATTTTGTGATTTGTATTTCATACTGGTGCCTTTAGTAATGTACATCTGCTGGCTGAGGTTAAATTCTAGAACACTCACTTGTCTGAAATTTTTATGTGCATGCTGGATGGCAAATTGCACAAACAGTGTAGGCCACCTCCATAGGACAAAGGGTTGCCAGAAAAGAGGTGTTTGTTTCTTCTGGATGCAGATAAAACGGGTACATCTGTGGATAGCTGGGAAACCACCAGCTACCCCTTCTTGTCTCTTTCACCTCCATCCTGTAGAAAAGAGGCTACACAATTTTAAGACTGTAAGGAGACAAAACAACCCAACTAGCTCCATGTTCTCTGTTTTCATTAAAAGCTGTTGCTATCTTCCTTTCAAATATTTGACTCTTACACCTATATGAATTAGTTTCAACTCACCAGGGAAATTACAGGAATTTCTGGAAAGGAATTCTGCCTAAATACTTCTAGTGCTCAAGGTTTCCCTTGCTTATATTCATTTCTTATCAAATACAAGGTTATCTTGGATTTATAAACTTTGACAGAGATTAAAATGTGTCCTGCAGGCTGGCTGTCTTTTATTACTGAGTTACAACATGCCTAGGATGAATTAGCAATGGCTTCAGAATGTGCTGGTATGCTGCCAACTCAGAATTAATATGGAGCGATGGGCAGCTCCGCAATAGCCCACAAGATGTTGCCTGTGCCAGTTTGGTATAGCTACATGTCCCAGTACTGTGTGAAACTGACGTATAGAGTTGAAAGCCAAAATTGTCTAGTGTCCACTAATTTTGGGTGTCCATCTTTAGAAGCCTATGTCTAGAATTTTTTCAGAGTATTTTGTAGCACCTCATAGGTATTTTATATCACTTCATAGCATTTATAACAAATGCTTATTGGATATTTAACAAGCTAGTTGACTAGTCGTTCTCCCCTCCAACCCCCCCCCCTTTGCAGCCTCCAAGGGAGGGGGAGAGGTAGGGATACTTCAAAGTGGCAGCACTGTATGGAGCCTGGAGCCAGATCCTGGGATCCATGCAGCACTGCTGCTTTGAAATGCCACGTGCAGCCCGGAGCCAGCTCGGGTGTCCCCAGGCTGCACATGGTGTTTCAAAGCAGCAGTGCTGCGTGGAGCCCATGATCAGCTGGGGACTCCACCGCTGACCCCGGGCTCCTTGTGGTATTTCAAAGTGACAGCACCGCATGGAGCCCAGGGTCAGTGGAGAAGTGCCCAACTGATCCGGGGCTCCATGCGGCGCTGCCACTTAGGCTGCACACGGTGTTTCAGATGCCAGGCTCCCCGCGGCATTTCATCGCATCATTGAGCCTGGAGTCAGCGGGGGAGTGACCCTGAGCTCCACGTGGTACTTTCGCCTTTGAATTGTAGCAACAGCCCTAGAGCTACACTTCAAAGGTGGAGGCGCCCTATCGACTAATTGAATATCGATGCAAAATGCATTGATTTTTTGGTCAATTACTCAATATTTAACATCCCTAGTCCAGAACAGAGCTCCTGATGATACAGCGGAGTGCTCAGCGCTTCTGCAAATCAAACTTCAGGTTTCTCTGTTTGGGTCTTCACAAAATGAGGATTACACCATGGCCCCCTGTGAACATTTAGGTTCATGTATCCGAGATAGGGACATGGGCAATCATCCCAAGTAATTGGAGCAGGAATCAGTAGCCAGGAATTGGAGTTTAGGGACAGAACTGGAGTCAGATGCCAGTGTGAAGGGTCAGAGCGAATTACCTGTAACAAGACAAGGCAGGAGCAAAGTTGGGAACAAGTAGAAGCAGGTGCAGGAACTATCACAGCTGCTGCTTCTGAGCTAGGCAGCTGACTTTTCCAACCGTTCATGCAATATTAGCCCGTTAGGTAGCTCACTATAGGCCAGCTGCACTTACGTTGCTCAGAGAACGGTTCTGCTGCAGTCCCCAATTCCTGCCAGTGTGATTGGCCAATAATACACAGGAACTCTGTGCCAGAGGCAGGGATAGAATCCAGTTCTCCATGGGAACATTGGACTGCCTTGTGGATGTAATTTTCTAACCTCTTACAACTAAGTCCTGTAGAACCATACTGATTCCCACGAGGGTCATTAGCAAGGTTGGCATCTTTAGATCTACAGCACACACTTCTGTCACTTGAGCTAATGGGGTAGCTGGTAGCTATAGAAGGCTGTTCTTTTCTGAACCTGCCACAAAAGGGGGATGGAGACACATTTTGCTAGTGAGTGTCAGTTATTTGTTAGTAAAGGAATATTGTGGGTTGAGGAATATTGGGTTCAATTTTTGTTTTTCTAGGGGAGTGTTCTCTTGTGATGTAGACCCTGCTCTTGCCCATCCTGTTCCTGCCCTTCCTCCTCTTGCTGTTCTCAGATCTTCTCTTATCTTTCTTATGTCTCTCCAGCCCCAGCTCCTGTTCCTTTCCTCAGCCTTCTTCTTTCCTGTGTGGTTGTTTTCTCCTTGACTTCTTCTCACCACCAGCTGAGGTGAGAAGGTGAAGGAGCATTGAAAGCACTTGTGCCTGGCAGCTATGTCAGAAAGGCCAGCTTTGCCCCTGCAACCTAGTATGGAGCTTGGTCTGTGGAGATGCAGTTTGGTCAGTGCCAGGAATCTGTAGGCATTCAGCACGCTCAGTGCAGACAGAATCTTTGGAAAATTCAGCTACAGAATTCCAGCAATTCTCTGCATGAGATTTATTCTAAGGTTTATAATTTTGGCTCATCTGGGTGAATTTTCGCACGGTTACAAAAGGCATATTGTTGATACAAAGGCCACCCCTTACCAGATTTCAAGACTCTGTTTTAAAGGATGGAGGAACTGGTGATTTTAAACTAAATCACTGAAGCAATATTTAACATGGACAAATCAGACTTAAGCAGACTGCTAATATGGAAAATTTCAGCCTAAGCAATCTTTTAGGCTAAGTCATAACTGAAAATAATCTTTTAAAAGGTAATGTCTTAACTTTAGGTATTGCTTCTTACCCTATCTATAATATAGCACTAACTCTATTTCTGTCACATTACTGAACACACTAACCCTAAAGTTGATTACCCATTAAATATGTATTTACTCTATCAAATAGTGAAATAAGCTCTGTTTAATATATACCTTTAGGGACAATCATTTTCTGATCTGTATAAAAAGACCAGGGTATGCAGTCACAAAATAGGCCTGTTACCATACACATCTGGTATAATGCTTACACTATTTTACAGTTTAAAATTATACATTTCACATAATTTTAGAAATATATTTTTAAAATAAATCCGTAAATCTTGAACTACTTTGTTTCTTAGTGTTCGCTGTACAAACGTTAGTAAAATTAATGAGTTACGCAAGAATGATATTATAGGTAAACAATTTTAATCAATAACTGTTCCACATAATAAATGGTTTTAATACATCTAGGAAATTACAAAAATGTTCCTCTTCCACATAAGATTATAAAAGGAAATAGTTTAGTACACTTCCCTCACATTAACTGTTCATTAATTTTGAGTATTGCCTGTTAGAATTGGGTTCAAAGAAATATTCTGTAACAATTCTACAGCATTGATAAATGTTTGAATATTACATGATGCTTAGCTAAACGATGGCTGAGTATAGGCATTAGAAGTGTGCTATTTCTAAACTCAGTAAAATGTTCACTTATCCTTTGTTCTTAGCGAAAATGTGCAAATTTGCTGTGCAAATTTTGCATTTGTTGTAAGATAAAAGAAAAGAATCAGTACAGTGCAAAAATTTGCATAGAGAAGTATTTTCTGATCTGTGACAAGATTAAATAAATATGTAATGAGGCTCTGTTGATACCGGAACTGAATTGTCTTATTATTTTCAATCCCCATAATGCATACAGCATAATGGATAACTACAGAGCAGATTCTCATTAGGCCTTGGCAGTATTCCTCAACTATGTGCTGGAAGACTGTCTTGTTAAGGTTTAGAGTAGAAGTCTCTATAGTTAAAGCAAAATGCAGGACAATGTAGCACTTTAAAGACTAACAAGATGGTTTATTAGATGATGAGCTTTCGTGGGCCAGACCCACTTCCTCAGATCAAATAGTGGAAGAAAATAGTCACAACCATATATACCAAAGGATACAATTAAAAAAAAGAACAAATATGAAAAGGACAAATCACATTGCAGAACAGAAGGGAGATGCGGGGTGGGGGAGGGGGAGGAAGGAAGGTAAGTGTCTGTGAATTGATGATATTAGAGGTAGGGAGAGTGGGATGTTTGTGAGTTAATGGTATTAGAGGTGATAATTGGGGAAACTATCTTGGTAATGGGTGAGATAACAAACATTTGAACTAAGTCCTTGTTGGAAAGTGTCGAATTTTAACATGAATGACAGTTCAGAGGATTCCCTTTCAAGTGCAGATGTAAAAGGTCTTTGTAGCAGAATGCAGGTGGCTAAGTCATTTAGAGAGTGTCCTTTCTGGTTAAAGTGGCAAGAAACTGTTTTCTCTTTGTGATCTTGTCTGATATCTGTTTTGTGGGCATTAATCCTTTGGCGAAGTGTCTGAGATGTTTGTCCAATGTACATAGCAGACGGACACTTTCGGCACATGATAGCGTAGATTATATTTCTGGATGCGCAGGAATATGTGTTCTTGATCTTATAACTCGTTAAACATTCTTTTTCTGCTGAGCCTGCCAACTTTGGTGCAAGCTAATATTCCTACATTCGTTGAGATATGGGCAGATATCCATGGTGAGCTAGATTGAGGCCAGCAAATCATTCATCTTAGACTACCATTCAAATGGACATAGTCAAGGTCATTACCAGTCTTAACAAGACTTGAACCAATGGTGAAAGGCTCCATCTTCCAACTTCTATTTAGTAGCTTCGGAGGGGTAGCTGAGTTAGTCTATATAGGATAAACTTAAAAAAACAACAAATGGTTGGGTAGCACTTCATAGACTTACTCTATAAAGTGCTCCCAGACCATTTGGACTATGTCTACACTAGCGGCTTCTTGTGCCAAAAATATGCAAATATGCAAATGAGGCTAAGCATGGAATAGTGCGGAGCCTCATTTGCATACCTAGTGAGCCGTCATTTTTGCTCCACCTCATTTGCATATTTCTGGTGCAAGAAGCCGCGAGTGTAGACACAGCCTTCGTGTTTTTTAAGTTCTTCCATTTAGTGTCTTTCTTTCTTTGTTAACTGTAAATGTTTGGGGCTAATTTTTATATCCAAATACTTATGGTTTGCACAAATATTATTTAATTATAAAACAGCTCTAGGATTTTTTTGAAAATTCCAATATGTAGGATTGCTTACCCTCTATTCTCTCCTACTGAGGAGTTGAATTACTGTTGTACTACAAGTTGTGTCTCTATTTTATTTTAAGAAAAGAGGAGTGTAGTGGGGACCAGTTAAGTTAATCTGAGAAGCATTTTTAAAATTCCAATTTAAACTGTTTATTGTCAAAATTAATGTTTAATTTTTTTGATAGCATATAGACTGTCACACAACAACAATTACAGATTTGGAGTTTTCATCAGATTTCACCCTAATGATTACTGAAAATACTGAGTGTACGGTAAGGCAACTTCTTCTTTCTGTATTTGACTAACATTGTCCTTGATTGGCGGGCCAGTGCATTCAATAAAGTGATGGTGATAAATGAATGTAATTATTATCATTGATGGTTCCTCTCTGCATTTACAGAGGTGTGAAACTGCTCTTTTAAATAGATTAATGCAAAGCCCCCAATAATAGTCTAGTTCAGTGGGGGGAGTAAAAGTGGGCATGATCATTTTCCATTTAGGGATGTTAGCCTAAGCTTATCGGGTACTGGAGGCACTACACTTGCTGTATTAGAGGCCGCAAGCAGGGGTGAAAGCAGGAGCCAGTTCTGGGGGGAGCTGGCTTAAAAGCCAGTTTCTTCTAGCACAGTCTCCATGGTTAGGGGTGAGGGGACAGGGCAGGCATTGCTACAGCAGTCACGGAGCCGGCATGCACTGGAACTCTTCAGTCCTGGCTCATGCTGTCTCTGGAAGCCCATCTGCGCTGCGGCTCTGCCTTTTTAGTGTGGTCAGAGTCGGGCAGCTCTTACTACATTTAAAAAGCCCAGACTACTGTGGCTCTGTTTTTTAAATGTAGTAAAAGCCACTTGACTCTTACTACATTTAAAAGGCGAGACGACAGCAGCGCCACCCAGCATGGGGTTGGGAGACTTGGCACGGGCCTTCCCAGTGGGTCTGAGAGCGGTGGTAACTGTGACCTGGTGGGTCCTGGAGCTGCAGCACATGGTGCCTGATGGCTCATCGGGCAGCGGGGCCAGCAGGAGATGGGGAGCTGGCCAGGAGACCAGCTGAGGGGCCAGTGGCAAGGGTCCAGAAATGACCTCCCTTGGTCTGGAAAAAATCCCTCCTCCAGGACTGGTCAGGTCCCCAGTGTGCTGGACCAGGGAGGTCCAACCTGTGCTACATGTTGAATCATCTAGATCTTTTTTGTTTGTTTCATTTCTGGTATGATGTATGGGAACAGTCAAGACTGTCAGTCAAAATATATTGCTAAATTGCAAAATGTGAGCATGTTAAACGGGAACATGCCCTGTTCCCATCTGTAGAGGGAAGGGTACATTTTTAGCTTTTATTGTTTAGGTTTCCATTATTAGTCGATTCCAGAAAAATACATACAGTTTTCACAAGATAGTGGATGAGAGGGAGATAATTTGTTGGCTTCTTCACTGAAAGCTTTACCACCTGTCACCTGTATTGCACCCATTTTGTCTGCTTTTAGCTTTAAATACAGGCAGTCCCCGACTTACGCGGATCCGACTTATGTCGGATCCGCCCTTACGAACGGGGCTTTCTCGCCCCGGAGGTTGAGGTGGTGGA